CACACACACACACACACACACACACACACACACACACACACACAGAGCAGTGCTGGGCTGTGGGGTCACCATGGCTTGAAATACTATTGACTCTGCTGGGGGCCAGCCCAATGAATTACACAGTAAGTTATGAGCCTTTTGGCCCTGAACCAAAACCATGTAGTTTGTGCTACGTATAACTAGGTATGAAAGTGTTACTCAAAAGTGTGTTTATAGAGCACCTGTGCTAAAATTTGCAGCAGTTTGCAACAAGTTAAATGCATTAATTCTAGACAAATTAAGTTCATTGCTATGTTTATTTAAAAGTCAGCATTTTTGGTCCCTTGCATTTCACATTAACAAAGAGGAGTGGGAGAATGAGGCCAGGCAATTACTGCAGTTCTAATTCTAACCCCAAGTCTGGGCTGGGGCCAAAATCAGACCCACAGCAATCTTCTGCCCTGCTCTGCAGCATCTGCTCTCCCCTCTGTCCTTTTCCTCCCTTACTGTCACCCTCGCTTCCACACTGTGCTCAGGGAAGGAATAGAGCCTGAACAGAGTTTGACAGTATGTGGGGGCAGGAAGGTTGCAGGAGGAAGAAGTGTGGGGGAGGAGAGCAGAGGACAACAATACCACCTAACCACCACCCCCCCCGCCACTATTGTCCCTGCTGTAGCAGTGGCAAGGGGATAAATTCAAGATAACCCTCCAATAATTAGATTCTACACCTGGAAAATTATAACAAATTAATAAATTTTCCATATACAGAATCTAATTATTTGGGAGTCATCTTATATTTTATGTTTGAGGAAACGCAGTAATTTAAAGCTAACTTGGATATGCCTACACAAGCTGCAGTCACAAAACAGATTGCAGTATAGATTTACTCTTTGATACCATGACAATAGATGCCTCAGAAATACCAGAGTTAACTGTTTGTTTGTATTTTTCATTTTCAGTCCGTTTTGTTTTTAAAGGATTTCCGGTATATCAAGCAATATATACTTACCATGTTACATGGAAAGCTTGTCGACATCCATGTTTATTACATGTCATGCAAGCACCAGTGGCTGCTTTGCTTTCTCTGCCTTGTTCATCACAAATATAGCACGTCTATTAAAAAAAAGTATTCATATGTGACAAAGTACACAAATTATTTTTGTGTTACTAGCAGGAAATATTTTAATGTGGTGTGCTATAAGAGAATCGATTTTTTCAATTTTGTAGACAAGCTTATTTGAGCACTCTTACAGTCTAATCACAAGTTTTTAAAGCAGGTCAGCATATAGGCTATTTAGGTTTTCTGTAACAATGTATTTCTGGTACAACTATACAAACATAAAATAATTTAATAAATCTGCACACCACTTCTGTATCAGTCTAATTTTTAAAATGGGAAAAACTGCAGCAGAGAGACAAAAAAAATTACTTAACAGCCAAAGGCCATTATTAAACCTCAGAATTTTCCCAGGTCCCAACCCTATGCTTATTCCGTTAGATCACTCAATCACTTATGTAAATTTTCTTTTAAGAGTATTACTGGTAGTACTGGGATTTTCCAAAGAAAAAAAAAATCTAACAATGTGCCTCAAACCATGAGCAAAGTTCAGTGGCCTTTAACAAAGTTTCAGAATGCAATTAAACACAGTTTCTATTTAAATATTACTCTAAGACAGCACAGTCTGAATAAACATCTTGTCAAAAGCTAGTATGGCTGTAACCTTGTTTAAAAACAGTTTCACTTAGGATTACAAACTCATTTCAAAGGCCAAGGAACGTGTTAGATTTAAAACAAATAGTTAGATATCTTAAAACATTGTTACAACATTTCATAAGTGCATACTATTTACTGGGAGAGCTATGGCAATTTCCATCATTTAAAATTATCAGTTAAGTAGAAAAATGAGAAGAAATAAAGCACAAAATTTATTTTTTTGTTATTTGACCATATTTTAGTTGCGTTTTAATAAATATATAATAAAATGAATCAGCGTAGACTATGCTACAGCATCTCCTATCGATGCTCTGGAGGTAGTAGCTAAAATTACTTTTTTTTTTTTTTAACATAATTTTGGAGGAATGTCAGTTCCTTGAGTTAAAAAGATCATACTGTATCATTTTTATAATATGGTTGAAACCTACTGCATAAACACAAAGCAATTGTCACTGTAGCTTCTTCATGGAAGTACCCTCTGATGTAAGCAGGACAAAAAGAATGCCTATTTATATTAAAACAAACTTCAAATTTTCACTACCACTTTGCATGGAGCTGCCATTTAAAAAACTGTTGAGGTCACAGGGAAAAGAAAAACAACTTTGGCTTCTCTTTTTCAAAATCTTCTACCCTTTGTAGCATCCCTGAACAAGAGAGAGGTAAAGGATGCTTCATATAGCTTTTACATATGGGCTATCCCCTTCAATGAGACAAAATGGGAATGCATAGGATAGATGGAAAACTTTTATAATCAAAGAAGAGAATACAATTTAAGAAATACGGATAAGAAAAAGGTAAAACAAAGAGCAAGGAAAAGGATATAAAGTACAAATAAAGAAACTTTAAAGTTGATTAAATTAGGTGAAAGACAGAATGGTTTTTTATGGCCCTGTCTGGACCAGAACTTAAGGTACAACATAATTTTAGGAAAGAGATACGAACTACAGTAAAAGCGGCGCTATCCGGCACCTTACAGGCTGGCATGCTCTATTAACCAGCATGCCAGCTTGTAAGGGGAAAAGCGAAACCGGAAGTGCCCACTGTGGCACTTCTGGTTTTGCTGAGCCCCCACGGCCTGGGGCAAAGCACCCTGTGCTGCCAAGCCCCCATGGCCCAGGGCATAGCAGCTTGTGCGGGCCCCCCCCACGTCCCTCGGGGCCCACGGGAGGGGCAGCGATGCGGCAGGAGGGGTCACACGCCCCGGATGCAGCAGGAGAAGCAGTGGCCTGAACAGGCAAAGACACCTGTTCAGACCACTCGGTTAACTGGCATATTTTGTTATCCAGCACCCCTCATTCCCCACGGGTGCTGGATAATAAAGCTTTTACTGTACAATGCTTTAAAGTCTACTCTAATGTAAATTGCTTGTCCTTTACTAGATTGTCAAAAAGCACTACTCAGCACATGTTAATTAATATCTGCTCAAATCACATTAATGAATTTTTACTTGATTCCTTATCTCACTCAACCTGTACATCAAGATTACAGAACACACAGTACCAAAGAATACCCACTGTTCCATGCCCTATACACTATCAAATGATTCAATGCTCAACTATTTAAAAAAGCCAAGTTGCCACCCATGCCTTGAAGTTACTTCTAGTTAAGATCCTTTCTCTTCTTTGCCCTAAACGGAACACTTCCAAAATAGAACACTAAATTAAACAGACTACGTAAAGCACACGATATGGGTGTTATTTTATTACTCTACCACCTCATATTCACTTACCATGATCTAATTTTTCTTCTTAACTATACCCTGGTAAGAAATGATGCACACATCACATTCAATACTGATGGAAGTCCATATTCCAGGGCTTTGAATTAATTGTAAGACCTATACCTAAGCACTATCTGCACTTGGTTGTGGCCAACATTTTTAACACACACAAATAAATAAATAAATGTTGTACTCTAGTAAAAATTTACAAAACAACGTTGTAGATAAGCTACCAAATTCAAGATAATCCAATTCTCCTTACACCAGCCACAAAGGCCGTGTTCACATGAGTGTGGATGTTTGGTTCCCCAGGGACAACTAGTGGCAGCACACCTTGTGCTGCTGTTAGTTGTCCCTGAGGAACGCTTGTGCCACACGCACTCTGGCGTGCAGCAGGTTACCCTGGGTGGGGCAGAGGAGGCTGGGGTCAACACTGTGCTGGCCCAAGCAGCCTCACCTGGGGTCCTGGAGGCCTCCCAGGGCTGCAGCAGTAGTGCCAACTGGAGCCTAGCTGGAAGCACAGCTTCGGATGCCCCGGGTCTGATTTTGAGCAACACATGCTTCCCCCATGTGTGCCAATCTGCTTTTTTTCTCCCCAATGGTTTTTTTTGACCACTGGATATGCAGAGGTCAATCTGTGTCCCCTCCCCCCAGCTGCTCCCTTGCAACACAACGAACACTTGAATGTGCAGCATGTGACACCACAAACATGTACGTGGCACTACATACTGCATGACCAAATACATCTGGATGCGGCCAAAAAGTGTAACAGTACTCACTGCTTCACCATCTGCATAAACAGAGCTGAAGATGCTAAAAATTACTCTTTACCACATGAGCTAAAAACCAACTTTGAAACTAAATTTCTCCAAATCTCTGTTCTCTTTCTTCGATTGGACTAACATTTCCCACAATTTGGTAAGAGCCCAGGATCCCTTTACAGGAGTATTTTCACTTGATAGACGAGGCCAAGTAACAGATGGACCTTGTTTGACACTACTGAAGATTTAGGATGCTTCAACTCTGAACAAACCCAAAACCAACATCTACAGAAGTGTCAGTAACTTCTTATTATTCACAAGGAAGAAAGAATGCAATTCTTCTCCAATACAGCCCTTCAGTAAGTTTTCTAAATGGGCAATGAAGTGCTTATGTAGGACAAAACTCTCCATTTAAGAAAGATGCTATGTTTTAACAAGGCTGCAAGTATCAGAGACCCTTCACACTGTAAAATGTTAAAACTGCTTGCATTGTTACTTTTGCATATCTGCTAGCATGTCTTTCTTTTGAAAATTTTCCAAATTTGAATCTTCCACATATGTAAAAATAAAGCTTAAAGGTAAGATGGATGTAAAATAAACCCTGCCAGCAAAAAATAACTTATAATACCACATTTTATGTTCAAGATTGCAGAGGCCATAACTTTATGTACAATCTATATGCCATGACCCAGAAAGAATTTCTTGTGGTCTCAGTTTCTGCAGAATTTAGTGATTAAGCAAGTTTTCTACTCCTTACAGTTGAGAAACATTCTATAAACAAACTATTGTATTTACATAAATCCAAGACAACTTCAGATTTACTTCAAATTTAAGACGACCAACCCTAATAATTAGATTCTACACATGAAATTCAGTTCCATGTAAAGTATCTAATCAGTGGAAGATCATCTTAAATTCATCCCCTTCACTGCTGTGGCAGAGAAAGCAGCACCAAGGGATAAGGGGCCAGGCCCCTGTCCCTTGCACCCCTGCTCTTTGGCCCCTCCATGGCTGCCTCCCTGCTGCCTGTTCCCCTGCCACGTGGCCCCTGCACCTGCCCATGTCTGTGCCTGCCCCACCACTCCACTTTACCCAACCCCTGCTCCCACCTGCAATCTGCCTTCCCCAACCCTCTGCACCCCTGTAGCCTGTCCCCCCACCTCCTACTGCCCTCTGCAGCCTGGCCCCACC